CGAACTGTTTGCCAAGAGGATAATCATCGGCCGAGGGAACCCCAAACCATGAAGAGCTAGCGGTTCTAAGAGCCAAGTGGTTGGAGAATGAAAACCAGTTGTTCACCCATGACTTGTGTGCACAACTGAACAGAATAGGTGCGCAGAATACATCTACAAATGTCAGGTTCATAGGTCATATACTAAATACTTTGGGTTTGCCTCAAGGCATATAATATAAACATGTATTCACCAGAAGGGGCCGAAAATGGGAACCCCATCCAGGCGGTTGAACGGCCCCGCGCACCCCCGCCGCCCCATGAAACAGGTTTGGACAACCAAGTCTTTATAATGGTATGGGCCATGGGTCCAATTGAAAAAAGTCACAGTCATCCCAGGACAGGCTTTGGACAACATATATCATCCATACATCTGGCCAGGCGGCCAGTCCCATACAAAGAGGGTGGCCGTGAGGCACTCAGTGACGACTTCACAACTCAACACGGCTCAATCGCCCGATGTATCCCGATGTTCGAGTTGGGCTCGGCTCAGCATGAGCAAAGCTGCAAAGCATGGATTGGGTTGTGCCACCTTGAGGCGAAGGGATATGGAACGGAGCCTTAAGAATGGTAAGTATTAATCCAAACCGTGTGGAACCTCCGGTTCCCCTGCATTCCCTCCGACAGCTCTTTTCACGGCCAAGCGAACAACACAGAATGGTGCGTTGGCAGCTTGTGTACTTGCGAGTCACTTTGGACTTCAGCAGTTCATTGGCCTGATTGTGCATTGGCTGAGAAGGATGTGAGGTGAAGAACACTGATGTTCAAACACTTCTGGACAAGAGTCAGTGTACAACATTGTACGACTACGTATGATTATAGACAATATTCCACAGACATAGAGGGATCATGAGGGATCCAAGAGAATCCGAGAGAAAGATACAAAGCGCGCAACAGGCTACTGTACACAAAATGATTCTGCCCTGGCAAATGTTGCGCTCAAGCAAGTCCTCTCATCTTGTCCATCTGGATGTCCTGCAGGTGCCAACTTGTGCAGTTGAGCTCCGCAAGCTCAGGTCATGCTAGAGCGGATGCGGCGGAATGCTAAGATCCCGGTCACATTTATGTCCCGCCACTCCTCCCCGGGGAGCGTGTCCACCATCACCTCTTCTGTCTCTGCAAGGCGGAACTCGTAGCCACCTGTCTGTCTGCGCTTGCCTCGAACACACATCTGAACCGCTGCTGCGTGCAATCCCAAGTCCCGGGCCGCAAATCTAATGGAAGCATGGGTCCTCCACTCCTCACTGCTGCCATGAGCTCGGCTTTCAATTGGGATTGACAGCGGATTTGGGCCCTTCATGGCTTTGAAGCGGTGCGCCATGTTCTCACTATGGGTAACATATTCCAGGTTATGCACGGCATTGTTGCTCTGGTCAAGGTCCTTGTGGTTGACCTCTAAGTGCTCTGCACTTGGAGGCGGCCCCAGGAATGCGCGGGCCACCAAACGGTGAACACGGATGGTGCAGTCATGAAACGGCTGAAAATAGCAGTATCCATCTTTCCTTCGGTGTCCCTTGGAGATTCGTCCATCTTTCCTCTTGATGCGACCCAGGGAGCTCACAAATCTGCCTGGCACAGATTTTCCTGATCTGGGGTGTATCATTGGTTTCCACTTCTCCCCTTCCACCATCTGATTCTCAGGCTTCCTGTACTTGAACTCCAAGCACCCAAGCTGAGCCTCCCTTTGACAGCGGGCCTTCATTGTCGAGTAATTAATGCCCAGCTTTTCTGATGCCTCCTTGGCAGAAGAAAAACGTCTGCACTGCTGAGACGTTGAATTTCTAACAATCACCAGCTTCGAACTGGAAGGTCCGGAAGTGCCCCTTGAGGGATTGTCATAGGAGATGCGCACATTTTGAGAAGGCGTGACCCACTCCAAGTTGTCTTTGTGATTGTTGCTGCGGTTCCCATCCTTATGATTCACCTCTGCTGTATTGCTTGGAGGAGGTCCGTGGAATTCAAATGCAAGAAGGCGGTGGGCGTAGAATGTCTTCCCACTAACGCAAACCTTGCGATAGCCACACTTTTGCAAACTCCCATAGCTCTTCCTGCCTCGAGTATCACTGAACCTACCATGCGAACTCACTTGCCAAACCTTTCTGGTGGGTGAAAGCTTGTCAGTCGGTTCCAAGCTGGAGATCACCTGCAATTGTACGCTGAGATGACAAGTCAAGAGCCAGGCGAGCACTGCGATCCTCCACCTCCGGCCAGTACTTCCACACCACGCCATGAGAGGATTGGGAAGAACACGGAAAGACCTTGGGTATATCCCGTTGCCAGTAACAGTAGATGATGGTGGCCTTTCTCTAAAATAGTGATTATTGTTTCCCGACTAGACCCTCAGAAAGACTTTGTAAGAAGAACTACTTTGCTGATGCAATGCATGCCACCAGGATGACGAAGCAAGTCACTTGTAATGATCTCTGTAAAATTAAAGTTTTCGGTCATATGCAGTGATGGTTTGGGTGTTGCCTTCTCCCTCCAAGCTCTGCTTTCCACTCAACTTCCAGCTTTTCTTGCTGCCCTCTTGAGTCCTTGCTTTTGAGCTTCACACCTGACCGGAATTGTAAATATCTGGAAGAGTGGTATCCTAAATGATCTTTATTGTTCCATGTGCGTGTTCCAGCACTTGGACCAGTCCAGGCAAAGTCCACCGGGACCGAAGCCCCATAGGTTGGTGATCTTTCATTTAGCCATCTGCGCATGGCCCGGAGAGACCATCTCTATAGAAATGTTTCTATCGACACCCGTTAGAAAGCAAAAAGACATCCTTTGGGTGGTGCTGGTACAGAAACAAACATATAATGAAAAATGTGCTCTCTTTCTAATTCTATACCTATTAAATTCGCCATCATTCACCCCCCATCCATACACGCCAGTTGAGTCTTGCATCCGACCCGGGCCTCAAGATGGCGTTCTTCCCGTCGTCCCAGAGCGGATCGTGCTTCTATGAGGTCTCGGTCTCGGTCCCAGAGCTGATGATCTGGCGACCATCAACTCAACCCGAAGAGTTCTATTTGGAGACATGTGTTTATATAGATTAAACATATGCTTATAAGTTATTGTACATGCATCTAGAAATTGAAAGAAAAAGGTTGGTTATCGAAACAAATTCATCACATGATTTTTGAATAGAACATTCGGTCAAACAGTGCATCTTTGGGGACAAAGAAGTTCAATAACATTGCTTTCCCAGTTCTAAAAAGTGGGACAGTTGGGATCAAAGCCAGTCAAGATTGGCACCGGTACAGTATCCTTTAAGAACGGACAATCTTGGCACTCCAAACCACAGACACTTGAGCTTGCTTATATGTACATATATATATATATGATGGTTGTGAGGAGGGTGGGAAAGTCATTATTGTCCTTGGTGTCCTCTGCCTGTGAGTCCAACTGCTACCAGTAGCGAGGATGAAGTAGAATCTAGAACTACTAAGCACCTCTAAAATGATATAGATGCACTTTGGGTACGTGGCAAATGGTTCTCAATGCCAAAATACGTATTAAACCATTTCTTGATTTCTTGATTTTCATGAAGGTGATCAACTATAATTACTGCATCGGGAGCTCTCGTCAGCCGAGCTGCCCCGCAGTGGAGAAGCGGTCCGAGAGCTGCGCAAAGGATCAACGGCGGCCGCTCGAGGATCAACGGCGGCCGTCAGCCACCAGCAGTTGAAGATGTGGTGGTAGAAGCCTGGTGAGATTTTGTGGAATGTGAAACGCACACCGAACTGTTTGCCAAGAGGGTAATTATCGGCCAAGGGAACCCCAAACCATGAAGAGCTAGCGGTCCTAAGAGCCAAGTGGTTGGAGAATGAAAACCAGTTGTTCACCCATGACTTGTGTGCACAACTGAACAGAATAGGTGCGCAGAAAGCATCTACAAATGTCAGGTTCATAGGTCATACTAAATACTTGGATTTGCTTCAAGAAATATAAACATGTACTCCCCAGAAAGGGCCGAAAATGGGAACCCCATCCAGCCAGTTGAACGGCCCTGCGCACCCCCGCGCCGCCCCATGAAACAGGTTTGGACAACCAAGTCTTTACAATGGTGTGGGCCCCCTTGAAAAAAGTCAGACAGGCTTTGGACAATATATATATATATCATCCATACATCTGGCCAGGCGGCCAGTCCCATACAAAGAGGATGGACGGAGTTCCCATCTGTCTGATATGCTCTCCCAGGTCCCATTCCATGTCCTGACTAGAATCTAGAAGTTACACGCAAAGATTTCAAGCAAACATAATTCTTTCAATCAGGTATCTTAGCGGAACAACGGAATCAAGGAGGCCTCCAACGCCCATCCCATGACTGGGAATACCCAAACACTTCATGATGGGACTGGCATAGCTTTTTCCATAAGTGGGGTCAACGGGCCAACGGGTTGGTATAAACATGTGTAAGCTATCATCCATGCATCTCGATAATCTCCAGGCAGCCAGTCCCATACAAAGAGGGTGGCCGGGTGGCCGTGAGGCACTCAGTGACGACTTCACAACTCAACACGGCTCAATCGCCCGATGTATCCCGATGTTCGAGTTGGGCGAGGCAAAGCTGCAAAGGCATGGTTTGGGTTGTGCCTCCTTGAGGCGAAGGGATATATGGGACACCTCAAGAGGTCCCTGGTAGGAGCCTTAAGAATTTCAATTATTAATCCAAACCGTGTGGAACCTCCGATTCCCCTGCATTCCCTCCTTCAGCTCATTTCACGTCCAAGCGAAAAACAGAATGGTGCGTTGGCAGGATGTGTGCTTGCGAGTCACTTTGGACTTCAGCTGTTCATTGGCCTGATTGTGCATTGGCTGAGAAGGTGTGACGATGAAGAACACTGATGTTCAAACACAAACACGTCAGATTCAATGACAATCGAAATTGTGACCACAATGGTTTACCGTTGTAGATCATTACAGTAATTACTTCAAAACAAAAAATAATTCTGGTATAATTATACTCAATATTCCGCAGACCGCACCATGCTCATTATGGACGAGTTCCTGACATAGAGGCATCCAAGAGAATCTAAGATAAAAATACAAAGCGCAACAGACTACTGTACAATCTGTACACAAAATGATTCTGGCGTGGACTTAAACTGCCCTCAAACAGGCTTTCCAATGTTCCCAGCTGATGATCAAATTTGCAGCGGCAAAAGTTGTGCTCAAGCAGATGCTCTCATCTCGTCCATCTGGATTTCCGCCAGGTTGTGCAGTTGAGCTCCGCAAGCTCAGGCCACGCTAGAGCGGATGAGGTGGATGGCAATGTTCCCTGTCACATTTATGTCCCGCCACTCCTCCCCCGGGAGTGTGTCCACCATCACCTCTTCTGTCTCTGCAACGCGGAACTCGTAGCCACCTGTCTGTCTGCGCTTGCCTCGAACACACATCTGAACCGCTGCTGCGTGCAATCCCAAGTCCCGGGCCGCAAATCTAATGGAAGCATGGGTCCTCCACTCCTCACTGCTCCCATGAGCTCGGCTTTCAATTGGGACTGACAGTGGATGTGGGCCCTTCATGCTTTTGAAGCAGTGTGCCAGGTTCTCACTATGGGTAACATACTCCAGGTTATCCACGGCATTGTTGCCCCGGTCAAGGTCCTTGTGGTTCACCTCGTGCTCTGGACTTGGAGGTGGCCCCAGGAATGCGCGCGCCACCAAACGGTGAACACGGATGGTGCAGTCATGAAACGGCTGAAAATAGCAGTATCCATCTCTCCTTCGGTGTCCCTTGGAGATTCGTCCATCTTTCCTCTTGATGCGACCCAGGGAGCTCACAAATCTGCCTGGCAAAGGTTTTCCTGATCCGGGGTGTATCATTGGTTTCCACTTCTCCCCTTCCAGCATCTGATTCTCAGCCTTCATATACTTGAACTGCAAGCACCCAAGCTGAGTCTCCCTTTGACAGCGTGCCATCAGTGTCCTGTGATTCATGCCCAGCTTTTCTGATGCCTCCTTGGCAGAAGAAAAGCATCTGCGCTGCTGAGACGTTAAATTTCTTACAATCACCGGCTTTGAAGTAGCAGGTCCGGCAGTGCCCCTTGAGGGATTGTCAAAGGAGATGCGCACATTTTGAGAAGGCGTGACCCACTCCAAGTTGTCTTTGTGATTGTTGCTGCAGTTCCCATCCTTATGATGCACCTGTGCTGTATTGCTTGGTGGAGGTCCAAGGAATTCAACTGCAACGATGCGGTGGGCTTGGAATGTCTTCCGATCAATGTAAACTTCGCGATAGCCAGTCTTTCGCAGAGTCCCATAGCTCTTCCTACCTCGAGTATTGCTGAACCTACCTTGCGAACTCACTTGCCAAGCCTTTCTAGTGGGTGAAGGCGTGTCAAACGGTTCTAAGCCGGAGATCACCTGCAAACGTACGCTGAGATGACAAGTCAAGAGCCAGGCGAACACTGCGATCCTCCACCTCCGGTCAGCACTTCCACACCACCACGCCATGAGAGGATGGACTTGTGTATGAGCGGTGCAAATTAATGAGAAGAACACGGAAATTCCTTGGCCATACAGGTAACAGGGCAGACCCAAGAAATACCATTTAAGAAGAACTGCTTTGCTGATACAATGCATGCCACCAGGATGACAAAGCGAGTCACCTGCAATGATCTCTGTCTTTAAATTAATGGTTCTTGGTAATACTGCCCGTGATAGTTTGGGCTTTGTCTTTCTCCCTCCAAGCTCTGATTTCAATTAATGGTTCTCGGTAATATTGCCCGTGATGGTTTGGGCTTTGTCTTTCTCCCTCCAAGCTCTGCTTTCCACTCACCTTCCAGCTTTCCTTGCTGCCTTCTTGAGTCCTTGCTTTTGAGCTTCACACCCGACTGGAAAAGTAAACATCTGGCAGAGTAGTTCCCCTGAACGATCCCTTTTGTTCCATGTCCGTGTTCCAGCACTTGGACCAGTCCAAGCAAAGCCCACAGCAGCCCCGTATAGGTTGGTGGTCTTTCATTTAGCCATTCGCGCATTCCATCTCTACAATAGCGGTTGTAGACACCCCGTTATTGAGCAAATCACATCCTTTGGGTGGTGCTGGTACAGAAACATAAATGTTTCGAAATATATGTGCTCTTTCCCTACTAAATTCACCATCATTCACCCCCCATCCATACACGCCAGTTGACTCTCACATCCGAGCCGGGCCTCAAAAGGCATTCTTCCCGTCGTCCCAGAGCGGATCGTGTTGTTTCGAGGTCTCGGTCCAAGAGCCGATGATCTGACGGCCATCAACTCAATCCGAACAGTTATATTTAGAGACGTGCCGTGTATATATAAATAAAATATGTATACATATATATGTAGAATAGTAGAATGGAAAGGTTCGTTATCTGAAACAGGTTCTTTATCACATGAATGTCAGTTAAAATGTTGCTCAAAAAATCCATCTTTGGGGACGAAGAAGTTCAATCACTTTGCTTTCCCAGTTGGGATCAAAGCCAGTCAAGATTGGCACCGGTACAGTATCCTTCAAGAACGGACAATCTTGGCACTCCAAACCACAAACACTTAAGCTTGCTTATATATATATTATGATGGTTGTGAGGAGGGTGGGAAAGTCATTATAAGTCATTATTGTCCTTGGTGTCCTGTGCCATGCCGATGCGTCCAACTGTTACCAGTAGCAAGGATCAAGTAGAATCTGGAAATTCTAAGCACCTCCCAAATTATAAATATATATACACTTTGGGTGCGTGGCAACTGGTTCACAATGCCAAAATACGTATGATTAAGCCATTTCTTGATTTCTTGATATTTCATTATATAATGAAACGTCATCAACTATACAGCATCGGGGGTTCCATACTGTCACAACCAAAAGCGAGCTCTCGTCAGCCGAGCTGCCCCGCAGTAGAGAAGAGGTCCAGGAGCTGTGCAAAGGATCAACGGCGGCCGTCAGCCACCAGCAGTTGAAGACAGGGTTGTGGAAGCCTGGTGAGATGTCGTGGAATGTGAAACGCGCACCGAACTGTTTGCCATGAGGATATCGGCCGGGGGAAACCCAAACCATGAAGAGCTAACGATTTTGAGATCCAGGTGGTTGGAGAATGAAACCCAGTTTGTTCACCCATGACTTGTGCGCACAACTGAACAGAATAGGTGCGCAAAATACAGTCTACAAGTGCCGGGTTCATAGGTCATACTGAATACTTGGATTTGCTTAAGAAACCGGAAAAAAACCCTATACTACTCACACGGAAAAAATAGCAACAAACCACCCCAAAACCATGAATATGCCAGCTACTTGTGAACATCCTCTGTACTCCAGCAGTCCCAAGAAGGTGAGGGGAACAGAAGTCTAGGCGCAAGAATATGTCGGAGTGGTATTAGGGGAAGATCAGGGCCACTCATCATCCAGTCGCTTGATAGGTCTAGAAATCCTCCAACTTCCAACTCCTGGTGCTGGCTTTACCGTCAAAGGCCATGGCCCATAGCGGGAATCTACCTTGCAGGTCAATCTATATCTATGTCCCTTGGTTTGGACGGGTAGACACCACATGGCAGTCTCTTTTAAACAAATGAACCACAAAAACATATAAACACATCAAAAACGCAGATCGCCCTGCTCGAAGGATTTGTTGATACTTGCTGGTGGGTGAGGAAAGGGTGAGCTGGAGGTTGTAAGTGACACCGAGTGGATTGACTTTTCTTCTCTCAGGCGCGTGCTCTGAGGGTTTGTAGGTGGAGGGGGTCTGACACAAGCTGGATCTCTGCGGCCAAAGAGCCATTTGGCCGCCGCTGTGGGTCTATCGCTCTGCAACACACATAGCGATAGCGATAGCGATAGATCCACCACCCCACGTCCAAATTTCCAAAATACACTACATCTGACTGCATCTGTGTGTTTTTCACTGTTCTTGTTTTGAATGTCAAAAACCAAAAACTCTCTCATAGCAGGTGGCTGTGTCACATTCTGCTGCGCTATGAACTCCAAAACATTTCATCCAGTTTCCATTGTTTTGAAGAATCAAACACCACCTGCAAACTCCCATAATACACGGTGTTTTTCTGCAATCCCAGGTGTTGGTGCCAGTGTCTTTCGTTAACACTAGTCTCCAAATCATGGTTTGTTGATGTTTGTTGCAACTGTTTGACATCGAAATTATGCTTGTTTTACTGGCGACCCCTGCACCTTCGGGATCGATGAAAGAGTTGAAAAGGGACTGTTTCTTCGGGAACTATTCCAAGATGCACACCTGCCCTCCACCCAAGAGTCAGGCCTGGATGATGCCAGAAGAGCTTTGTCAGTTGATCATCGCACACATTGACCATCCAAAGATGCTAAAGTTGGAGCTGTCAGGTGGTTCATTCAGCTGCTGTGCCGCTGCTTTTTTGTTCATGCTCAGCACGTTGCCCGGCAGCTCCGTTGGGTGATCCAAGTTGGGTGGACCCTGTCGCGTGGATCGCAGGGGATCCCAGGAGCCTCCGGATTTGAAGACCTTGAGGAAGGCAGGAGGAAGGGAAAGGGTTGTCTACTTAAACATGAGCCCACACCGAAGTGCAAGAATCAGGAAACCCTAAGAACTAAGAGTTGAGGCCACATCCAAATCATCTTGCCTAATGGCTTTTCCAAGACACATGCATGAAGACATATGAAGACCAGGAGTACGTCCGCTGCGTGGTTCCAGCCACCCTTCTCCGCCACCGTCTGCCCACCAGCAGCACCACTGAGCGAAAGGAGCCAATGGCATGTCCGGGATGTCCAGCATTGCCCGGTTTACAGTAAGCAGCTGGATAGAACAAAGGGCCATCGCGGAACAAGAAACGTGTCTCAATCCAATTGGCCGCTCAAGGCTGTTGACATCTATTGATCGCCTTCAACGAGACACTTTCCAAACAGACAGAATCCAAGACGGTTCTGGTCCCACCCAAGTGTGCTGTAGAAACACCCAGGATAGCCTCTGCTTTTGTGAACTGCAAAAGATTTTGCAGACCTTGAGGACCCAAGCTGCTAGATTCTAGCTGATGAATTTGGTAGCTAGCTCCACAGCTGAATCTGAAGAGTCTCCAGGATCTCTTTCAATCAACTCCCAGAGTCTGTCTTGGCAGAAAGTTCATGCAAATACGCACGAGGTTTAGATCAACTGCCCTCGTTTTTTCAAGCAACCCAATAATTCACCTGAAAGGAGTCTCTAGCCAGTTCCACCAACTTTCAGCATAGATAATAGAGAAGACCATCACTGTGATAGTAGATGGTATATACCCAACCGATGCATCACCTCCTAGTGATTCCCACCTTCCACGCTCACGCTGGGCTGCCCGAGCACACGGCCTCCAGCAGCTATGAGTCTGGCCGCCTGAGTCGCGGCCCAAGACCGACGCCGTGCAGACCAGTTGGAGGTGCGGCGAGGTTCGGTGGTGTTCATGGAAGTTCTATCTTTCTGTGCGGGCAGGGTGGGTTGGAGGTGATGTTATAGCCATACTATACCATACTACTACAGTGTAGGGCAGTGTAGGGCTGTCCAAAAATGTGTCTGAAAAGGTTAAGGGTTGCAGGACCAAATTGATTGGGATTTAACATTGAAACTTGGACCTGCCTGGTGGCCACATGCCCAAAGAAACAATTTGTCTTGATACATGTTGACTGCTGATGGAACAAATCCTCACCAGAACTCCACATCCGACGGCTGCACTCGGCCATCTGGCAACTTCATTGCATTCCACCAGAGAACGTGCCAACATGTCATGCACCAGGGTACATTCACAAATATCCAGCCCAGCTATGTATGGACTGTCCATTGTTTGATATACTGATATACAGTACCAACAGAACTGCGAAGCTCAATCTGGGCACCAGCATGATCTGGCAATCCAGGGGTTGTGGTTCGGTCGGAACCAACTTGGAATCTCCTGAAGACTAGTACTTTTCCTGAAAACACAACTAGCAAGGGGTTGGGGAACTCCCTGTAGCTCCTTGGCTCCCTGTTTAATGGTGATTATGGATACCCTGGCTCCTTAGGTCCCTCCTGAGCACAAGCTAGTCCATGTCACCGATCGGTTGCTTCTTTTTCGGTCAATGGCCCGTACTGCTCGCTGCACCAGTCTCAGGCCATCGAAGTTTGGATGGTAAAACCTGGATGCAGCCACCAAAGTGTGGTGCTAATGTAGACTCTTGATGAGTCATACCTCCCATTTGGATGGTAAAAGCTCTTACATCGCGTAAACATGCGTACACCTTCAATACATCTTCAATATGAGAGGTTGATGATTCAAGATTCTACCATATTCATCAAAGTTCATCAATATTCTACATGAACTTCCATCCTTGCAGTGCCCACTCAGCCCTCCTCACCCCTTTGCGGCTTCATACCTCGAGCAGAACGCGCTTCTTTGTCTCTCTGGGGCCGCTCGTTGGACGGACGGAAGACATACACTAGAGAAGGCCAGAAACACCTTCGACCAACCAGGGTTCACGTGTTTTCTCAGATCTGCAAAGCATGTCTTACTCAAAAACAAAGCATGTCTTACTCAAGATCGGCATGTTGAACATTCGTGCTTTTGTGGCCAAAAAAACGGTGAGATGAGATGGCCGACGGGCCGAAGTGGACTGCAAGAAAAGTGGCATGAATCTTGGTCTAAATCCGTGCTCTTCTTTGGTTTACTTACTCTTCCCTGGTTATTGTGCCTCCTGAGCCATGGCTTCCCTGAGGTTCAAAACTATCAGCAAGGGACTGCTGAATCCGAACAGATTACGAATGATTTCACTCAACTCAACCGACTCGACCAATCAATCCAAGGTTCCTTCCAGCTCCACGTCATCCAAGAACCAGCGCCATGTCACTGAAAGACGCTCGCCGCGATGAAGCTCCGGCACTCCGTGGATCCACTGGTAGCGCGCCTCGTGCTGCTGTAGAAAGCAACAGCCTGCCTGGAGTCCAGGAACCGGAAACGACACGTCGCTGTTGGACCTTTGTTGTGTGGTGGTTTTCGAAGAACATCGCCAGGGGTCGACATACATGCTAGCAGGTGAAAGCATTTGTGTTTAGTCCCTAAAAATGACTGGATCAACATAAACAAACAATGCCAGCAGGATCCAGCAGGTCCCAAACAGGTGGGTTTCTTCGTCCCATCCAACAAGAGTGGATGTGATGTTGTGGGCACCCTCAGCCTCCGTTCGGCACCCATCTCCATGGAGCTCCTGGTACATGAATCCAACAAGTCTGGGTGATGTTCTTCACAATGTCATGGACCTTCTGCTATATGAATCCAATGCTCCTGGTCTATGTGAAACTGCTCTCTGTCAATGCAAATGTCCACCGGTGGATGGAACCGAACCGTGCTCGACGAGCAGAGATTTTCCTCAGACCATGGTGCTGGTCCCAACGCCTCCACCCTCCCAGTGGATCCAGGCAACCCAATATATAATTAGTTTGTAGGTAGACTTCAACTAAACCTCATTATAACTAAACCACCAAAGAGACCGTTCCACTTCCCCTTCCCTGGTTACCTTAAGGTTCCTGACTAACTACTCTGGCCGGCCAGAAAGGTGGCCTCGTCCCACCTCCGGACCTCTCTCCCCATCTTCCCACCTCCTCGGGCACCAGGAACCGTTCCAAGGGCCGCCCGGTGGGCTTTCCCTGCGGCTCCATCTGGTGGAACTCCAGGACGCTGTCGGAGCTGTTGAACAAGATGCAGCCGAAGACCGGATTCCGGTAGATGTGCTTCCTGAACGAGATAGATCAGTCCGGAAAGCGAGGCGAGCGAAGCAGTTCGGCTCAGTTCGGGTCTGCGAAGGACGTGTCTTAGTGTCTGGCGATATCTTGGAAGTTGTATGTGCCTGTATAAGTAGAGGGCCTGGAAGGGTAGGGATCCCTAAGAACTCTGCCATCGCAACAGGTCGTGCCTACTCAGTGCATGCGTCACTGGGCAACGTCATGTGGTTTCCGTCCCATCCACGCGAAACCGGTGCCGCTCCGGTGCCTGTCAGCATGCCAAGGGATGCACTGCCCGGGCGAATAAAGCAAACAGCTCACGTTGAGCCGCTCCTCGTCCAGGGACAGTTGCGGAGCCAAGCGACGCATCACCTGACAATAAAAAAAAGAGTAGTCGCGGGCTACAGGCAGGGCCTGTAGCAACAACGGTGCGCGCGTGGGTTTGTGTGTGGACATCTGCCCGATTTCCACTCCATGGGACTGGCATATCTACCTGCATTGACCTCTGAAACCACCCGAATATTAAGATCATTTAAGATCTATTAAGCAATGATGCCCTGCAACATCGGTTGGGTGTTGGAAGACCTAAGAGCCCTGAAGGAGAGCGACCAAAGCCACGGTGCAGGTTGGCCGAGGCCGGACGCATGGTGACGAAGGCCATGGCAGGTGGACCAACTAATACAGGAAGCAAGAACGGCCCAAAGCCCCAATGGGTTGGGAGTACCCTACGGCACCCTGCACTCCCGAAAACTCATATTGGACCCGGGTCGAGACAGGCACGCCGGGTCGTTTTTTACCCTGTTGTTTCTCCTTTAAAGCAATGGTTCTCCGGGTCCCTGTGAGTCTTCAGCGGGGTATTTGTCCAATGCACACATTCAGTAGGCAAGCAGTCCACGTTGAACAATCACAGGCGTATCTTCTTTGTCAAAGTATGCCCTCAACAACCACATCCACAGTCATAAGCCTCAATGGTTCAAATATACGACATGAATAGATCGCAATGTATTAGTATGGTGGGGTGGGTATTTTGTTGTTGATTTGTTTAATCTACTTAGCACTAGCATACTTACTTGGCCTTTGCATTGTGTTGCTTGGTCGCTGCGTCTGGTGCTGATGGGTCGGATTTGGATCATGGCTTCATTCCAAGCAAACGCTCCCAGAGATGCAAAACACATTGTCCCTTGAACAGGAACCAGATCCCAGATGCAAAAGCACACGCTAGTACAAATGCACAAACGTCAACCACAACTATATACAACAATGCAATAAAAACAACGCAACAAAAAAGATAATCTGGATCACACCATCCACATATGCCCAAAAATCAAATCGATATAGGGGTAAAATGAGCTGTTTCACTTTGGACCCACAGCAAGTGCCCGGTACCTCTACAATCAGCTCCTTCAGCCGCACGAACTCGTCCCAGCTCTTCGCGCGCACGGCCCGTGGGGCTTGGCCCTCGCGTTCATCGTACCCGTAGGAGCCCTCGTAGGTCCAGCCCACTTCCACCGCAGAGCGGCTTCGCTTGGACTGCCTCGCGAGGTGGACAACAAGAAGGGGCTGCGAGGAGTACTAGAGGGATCCGATATCCGATCCTTTTGTTGATCACCAGCTGCTACACACAGATTGAGAGTTGAAAGTGGGAAGTTCGCACATCACTAGGAGGGCGCCCCAAATCAAGAAACGTCACTGACCTCGCTCAAAACCATGGGTCCTGTTAACATGCAATACTGGAAAGTAAACGTTTAGACTTAGTAGACACCCATTAACCTCTTAGACTCTAAGGGGCTATTGTTGGACACCCTTCGGGGGCCCTGGTACAAGTTGACTCAGAATGGTAAGGAACTCCGTCTTCACCGAAGATCAAATGGCCGGGAGTCCCTTGGATTCCAACAATCTGATCAAGCATGCCAAGCAAGGCCTGAAACCACTACAACAGGAATTTCAGTATGACCAAACCATGATTTTTCCCATGGACCTGTAGGAATCTCAGTACCTTAGCAGGAATGGACAACAGGAATGTCAGCTAAACATGTACTTTGCCTCAGTCAAGCAAAGCAATCTTCCCAAACAACAGATTCTCTCTCATGGATGTGGGTCGGTCACATACCACGCATGTATTCTTGGTCCATGCTTTCGTGGCTGCTAGCAACAAGAATTTGATACAATGTATTCCAACAACCTGTCACGTGCACTGGCTATTTAACATAGTCAATCTTAGTTCACACCGGGACCCTCAAAAAGGTAATTTAGTGGACAGCCCTTATCCTCTAAGGGGCTAGGAATCAACACCCAAACCGATATTCCTGGCAAATATATGCTAATCATTGCTAATCTTATCCATGCTTTGGAGCTTTACTAAACTAACATGAAAATCTAGACCTGGTACACTCTGACTCACTAACATGGAAGAGGAACATGGCCCCGAACAACAGACTACTTTCCGCTACCAACAAAGCATTCTTCCACTTCCATGTGAGTCAGTCACCTGAGTGGAGTGGTGACGTCCAGTCAGAGTGAGTCAGGTCCCAAGATCCAGTCACTTTGACTCCACTCGCGGCCGCCCTGGTCGCGCCGTCACGCCGCTGGACCCGCGCTGGTCCCGGTGCCTTTCGGCCCGCGAGGGGAAGTGCGGCATCAACTCTGCCAGTGCCATCTTCACCAAGGACGTCCTGAGAAGTGTAGACGGTTTGATGAAACCAACACTATCTGAATATATCTGTATATATCTAAGCATCTCTTTATGGTATTTTATTGTCCCTAGGGCTCCAACCATATCCTCAGGGAGTTAGACCCCCTGGCATCCACCCCAAGCACCTTCTCAGGACGCAGTTGGAGCCCGAGGGATTGATCACAGTCTATTAATTGTCCAAAGAGACCTGTTTTCCAGTCCTGCGTTCTGCGACCTGGACAGCTGGATCACCATCATCCATGATTAGCTGGGGTTTTCCTTTTGTTTGGTGATGTGTGTCCCAAAAATTCGAACCTGGAACAAGAAACACCTCCGCTGGATACATGTTTGTACTCCCTTCATGTCGAGCTGAAATTCATCAGTCAACGTCCTTAGCGGCTGTAAAAACCGAGTATTCTCGTCCTTGCCAGCGGTGTATCCGTGGCGTTCTTCCTTCAATTCAAGCATTTTGGGGGGAAAACCTCACGCGTGAAAGACAACTGGGCGTTTCGTCCCTAGGGATTCACTGCCACCTGGCACAAAGGTGGACCCTTGTGTCTCCACACATCACCGTTCCTCAGAGGGTGGCAGTGGATCCACAAAGCATGATGATTAACATGACTTTTGACCTACTTTTGACCTTTTGACCTTTTAGGGTTAGTGACTGCAGGCAGATTTGATTGTGATTGTGATGACTTTCTGTGGGTCACATACACCAAAAAAGACCTCGGTGAGCCCACGACCGACGGAATGGACGACCGACTAAGGAGGTCAACCGGGGCTCGGGGTGCCATGACCGGGGCTCGGGGTGCCATGACCCGCAGCCATGTGTTGTTCCACCATGCTGCCAGGCATCTCCACTCGTGCCATGCTCAAGCCTCTGGGTACTCTCTCAGTCGTGGGAATGTTCGCAGCAGCTAACCACATGCTTGGGAAACGACTCCCGTAGTAGTCCTTGAACTGATGTTCCTGGACATCCACAACTTTGTGGTTCAATCTTTAATCCACGGTGCAGTCTTCAAGCCATCCGTGCTGTGTCCGCTTCGTGCATTGCAATAGGGAGACCCCCGATCGCCCCTGGCTGGGTAGACTAGGGGGGTCGTTGCCTGGCAGGTCTCCCTATGTTCATACACACCCAGATCGGCGGTCCATACCGGGGTACTATATGCTTTTACTAAGTGGCCACCAAAGACACACACAGATATATATATATATATACCTAGATCTTCCGGTGGTGCAAAATTTTCGCCGAAGGCCTTGAAAGCAACAATTTTTGTCGATTTGTTTGATTTTTGCGAATTTGGATTGTTTTTTGCGAATTTGGGTTTCTCGATTTGCACCACCGGATTTCTGTCTTATCTATAGTACTATAGTCCTTGTCAAGGCTGGTCTAACAATGTCTGGGGTAGTGTCTGGGGTATTGTGTGGGACATCCTGCGGCGAGCACGAACCTTTCACTTGCAACGCTTGCAAATCTTCTTCCGGGGTCGTGAGATCCCAGCCTGACGTCTCTTGCGCCAGCGAATGTGCAATGCGCGTGCCTTGATCAGGTAAAGTTGTAGGACTCTGCGCTCCATGGTTCTGGAATCAACCCGCCTGCTGAGGCGGGCTAGGCGCCCTATCAGGTCTTCGTTCACTTCGCAACTGAAAGCCAAAGGAGAAACCCAAAGTTTCCCAGTTCCCTGTAGAAACAAGTGGGCTTCATGAGCAAAATGTTTGAACGTGTGCACTTTGGGAATCATGGCCCATGCACAAAGCTGCATAGCTTTGCTTTTCTGTGCTAGCCAGCTGTACCCGTTCAGTACCTTGGTGGCATTTTCCAGAAACATGGCCGTGCAGGCTCTTGAAAGCATCAAGCGATGCCCGTACAAAAGCCCAGCAATAGCATCCATAGCAACAGCGACTTGGTGCATGACCTGCAGCAACTCCTTTTGTCGAGCATTGGCCTGTGACAGCAGGACTGGAATAAACTCATTGAGCCAAGATACGCACAAAGCAACATCCGACCCCTTTGCATTTATCCAGGGATAGCACTGCCAGGTCTTCCAACTGAACAGTGCAGGAGTGAAGGAGCGTAAAGCTGGGCTTTTTGCCCGCATTGAGCACCACAGGCGGAAAAACCCGTGTGCCCTTTGTAGCTGGACATCTCGTGCATTGCTGGCACCGTCTTCACAGAAACCAATGTTCAAATGGATCAAAGTAACAACTGCGCTCCCCACGAAGTGGCGCCAAACACCCAGCCGCGTAATGTGAAAAAATGTCGCGGCGCAATGCTCGCTCGGACTCACCAGACCTATCAAAAGGAAGAATTGTGCTGAATCCAGGTGGGCTTGATGTAGGCCAGGGCCTCCACTTGTACAAGGTCCTTGCCCAACATGGTTCAGGTCCAACATCCTCGTATGGTAGTCGCTTCACTCCACCCAGGCATTCCGGGCAAATGCCTTGCTCTTTCTTCCTCCCCTTCTTGCCGTAGTACCGGTCCAGGTGTCCCCTTTGCGCCAACCACTTCAAATCGCCTTTGAGGCCTAAGAAGGCAACTTTCCAAACACGCGACCGTACATCCAGACCTTGATAGTACAGCTGGCGAAGTTCACGGCTAATGTGGTCATGCATGTAGTCAATCAGGTCTGGATGCTCTTTGTAGACGGTGCATGGGAGAAGGAAGAGTGGAACCCTGCTCAAAAAAACTATGTTCCTTCATGGTTGTGCTCGCCGCATGGATGTATTCCAACTCCACGGGTTGTGTTACAGACGCATACTGTGTTGCAACTCGAGGGTCAGGAACACATGAGCAATCCACACATGTTTGTCTCTCAAAGTTCTCTGCAGAGGAGAGCCCGAACACCGTCTCTAAACTAACAACACATGTCTGCCCTCGTCTTCTTCCCCGACCCTCGTCCCCGTACAGGAGGATCGGAATTGTGGTCGACAAGCTGCCAGGATCAAGGGCGTACACCTCATGATTTGGATGGTTGGCCCTGTACGCATCCCACCATGAGCTCAGCAATGCCATTATGTCAGTGTCTTCGGTGAATCCTCCGAACAATATTTCTGGGCATTCGGAGAGCAAAAATTTGATCACATTGATGGGTGAAAGATATGGTAGGTGCAGACTTTGTGTGCCATACTTGTATTCAACTTCTGACAGGCCAATCCTCCATCGCAACCCAAAGCGCTCAACCATCCGGTGAAGGTTTCTAGATGCATTGGTCATCTTGGTAGGATCTATGTTCTTTTTGTTGGCCACCGGCGCGCTGCCAATGGCCGCATTCCGAGCTGCGACTTCCACTGAAGTTGCAGGGGCCTAAGCGGAGTGGGGCTCAAGACACATCTTTTCTGGTTGTTTTCTGGGACCCCTGCTCCATCAGCAACCGATTCAGCTAAACACTCCGCCAACGGTCCATCACTGTAGACGTGTCCTGGCCAGTGAAATGAGTGGGGGAAGTGAGAGTATGGCTGGCTGTTGGCCAGCTGTGGAAAGAACCGCTACTCTTCAGTAGGACTCAGTATACAGTCGCTACAGCAGTCTCCCTTTTCTGGCACGAACTTGCCCCAGTGTTCTAATCAGTTAAATTGAAACCGTCCAACAGCTCTGGCTCCATACAGGCCACCATAGGCTCACCCAAAGCAGTTTAGTTGCCTTGGTTGTTCATTTAGTAGTCGGGTTCGTGGCAGCCTGCAAGACTAAGGTTCCAGACTGTTGGTATTGGCATCTAAGTTTATTGCCTTACCACTTTTGTAAAGCAACCCCCAAAAAATGGAACAGCCCCTACTTAGCACCCTTTTTGCTGCGCTTTGGGGGAGACTCTTGCTCCTCCTTGGCAGCCCGTGCCTTTGCCTTGGCCTTTGGCTTCGCCTTGGCCTTGCCCTTTCCACGGGCGGTCGACCGCTTTCTGGTACCCTTTCCCCCCCGACTCATCCTTGCCCTTCGGATCCTTTGGGTACAACGTCCTGTGCCGCGAGCTGCCATGAAACAAACAGCAAGACCGTTCAAACATTTGGTCGGGTTTGATCTAAGTTGCATTCCCTTGTTTTGAGAGTAAGTCTGAAGTCTTGCAAGTTTTTAGATGATGTGTTTGCTGATGTGTTTGATTGGCGGCAGTCCTCATCCTGCCTTCCAATGCAATTGCTTCGACCGCCCTAAACACAAACCCCAACAAACCACCCGCCAAACAGCATGTCGAACAAACACCAGTTGACCAAGGTCGGAACTTCTTCTCCGCCGTTGTGAAATGAGCATCGAGCTGACGTTCCAGCCTAGGCCGGGCTGGAAGGTTGGAGGGAGATCAAAAGAGCCACCATGAAGCTTACATGGAGGCTGTTGAGGTTCCAGCTTGCTACTCAGACCGTCAACTACACCACTGACCCATGTAGTGTTGATTTGCTCGGAAGCCGCTTCAAGCTCATGGATGGTCGTCTCGATCTTCTCCTTCATCCTGACCAAGGGAAAGTGTCTACAGGAAAAATCCGCCGGAGAGGTTGTTTGGTAAAGGTAATCGATGCAAAACAACACGTCCCAAGCCTGGTTTGCACCTCGGATAGCCCGACTCCACCCACGGTAAACCGTTCCAAGCCCTTTTGCAATTTGGCAATCCTCTTGGAGAGGCAAGACCTGAGGTATGCCAGTATGCTGGGTGTGCACACTAAACACAACTAAATCACACATCCTTGGTAGCATGTTGAATCCAGCATAAATATGTGTAATGAATGGTGCATGGCGAGCTACATCATTTTCTGTGCGGATGAGCTAAGTAGGCCATCTTCGGGGAGTGTTGGCAAACCAGCCTGCTTCCTCAGAGAGTCCTGTTGTTCAGTGACAAGATCAGCGTCAGAGAACTCTGACTCCGACCCCTCCTCAAGGTCTTGCACATCAGCACCTTCAGAAAGGCACGGGTGCATCAAGTGATTGTGAATGAGCTAGATTGAAAAATTAAGTAAAATTTCTGAAATTGCACAAGATTTGACTATACCTAGGTATCTAGGTATACTTGTTTCTACAGGCGCCTTCCGATTCATGCTGTTCCTCGACCGGCTTAGTTGATTTCCGAACAGTCTTCGCAGTCTTGGACGTTTTGTCTGGCTTGGTGGTCTCAGTCTCTCCATTCTTGTCAGTCTCTGGGTTGGGTGGAAGCGGCATCCCACGGCCAGGATGGTTCCCAACATCATCAAGACCATGTGGCAGCAAAGACTCCTGCCCAAGGCCTTCCTCGTTCCAGCGGACACGGCGTTGCATCCGAACCGATGATTTCTTCCTAGGCCACCAGTGAGGGAAAACGATTGTGCATCAACGTTTTGGAAAAGTTGAGATTCCTTAAATCATGTGTTTTTTCTTTTTGGCAAGGTGCGTCATGGTTCCCCGGATCGACCTCTCTGCCCAGTACAAGTTCTTCCGCTCGTAGAGGTCCTTCCTAGAATAAAGAGGGTGCTAGGCATCAGACATGATTAGATTCATTAGGCTGAACATAGATCATTTCGATCCAGGCCTCATGTACTTGGAAGGGTTGCTGCGGCAAAATTTCATAACTGCCGCGACTCTGGGCCTGAGAGCAAGTGCAGTCCGACTAGTACGAACACAGGATAAGAGGGTATAAATGTGTGGTCTCAAAATAAGCCTCTCAACCTTTAATTGCTGCTACTGTAAGCTAACACCAAGAGGTTTCAACCCAGGGGCTTAGACCAGCCCCACTCGTTGACCATGGTATCTTGGTCAACAAATTGTCCCTCGATGGTAACCTCAGTTTCCTGAAGCTCTTCGCGAAGTATCTCCACCTCGGTCACTTTAAAGGTCTCCTTGGATGGAGAGGGATGAGAGTTTATTGGGTGTATAACCCACCAGTCACTGGACTAGATTGAAATCGTGAACATAGATCCTCCTACCGAGGCCTGTTCTTGAAGGGAGCCTCCAAACAAGGGGTGTCAAAATTAGAATTGCGAACAATGGAGCTACATGATAACCAAGATTCAACGTC